CTTGTTAAAGAGTTAAAGATGGCTGACACAGAGGGGCATTATGATCGCTTTTTAGCTTCCCTGCTTAATGATGATGAGTGCTATTTTTAGCACTGTCAGYTCTTCACTGAATAACTTCAGATCATGTAATGACCCCCTATAGAACTATGATCTGAATTCAGATCATAATTCTATAGGGGTCATTACATGAAAATCCAGGTGGACACCTTACAGAATGTGAATTTCACATCTTTCATCCTTATRTTTATGAGCTCATGATGACAAAAGATTGAAGGAATGATTTTGTTACTCTTTACACCACAGTAAGAGTCAATGAACAGACCAGAACTCGGTCACAGCCCTGTTGTCATAAATCAAAAGGGGAAAAAACGGGGGTTCTCTACCTTTTCTCCAGTGTTCATCTTTTTGCTGGCTGAGAATTCTTTCAAAGAGCGAGTCACAGCCCTGTGCAGACCGAGAAAAAAGAAAGCTACATGAAGGGAAACAGATGTGTTCTGAAACACGCATGACAGAGTTACCCTTCAGTGTGTTTTCTTGAATAATCAGGATGATTATRGCCACTCACGTTGACACCTCAGCAATATGTTTGTGTCTCAGACTCAGCCAAAGATCRTCATCTTCATCCAGAACCACCTCCTTCATCCTGGTCTCTCCCATCCCACTGGTCTCATACCTGACAGACAAGCACAAAGATGTTTAGACCCTGATAATGTGCAGCAAAGATAGAATTAACTTAGGTTAATACATTAAAATGCAGCACTGAGCAAGTCATTTTCATTTTGATGGAACCATTAAGTAATCATTGAAGCAATGCATATCGCCCACCACCTTTCATGCCAAAGTTTTGAACTGAGATTATCTTACTTTAAGAAATGAAGAGTTGCAGTCCTTTTCCAGTATCTCTACTCTAATGCTAATCTACATAAAKCATTCTGTGGAGACTTAGATCACATTTATACACTAATGGGACACACATTAGGCAGTAGGGGTTCAGTGTCTTGCCCAAGGACACTATGACAAGTGACTGAATAGTGGTATAATGGTATTGCCAACTCTTGMATTGGAGGAGGACCTCYCTAACCACTCAGCCACAGCCGCCCACAGATTGATTCCTGGAGTAGAACCATTATCCAACATGTAGAAGGAGGGATTTTGTAGGCAGGGCTCTCAGGCCTGTTGACAGGGCATGGCACCCTCCATGGATAAGACAATGATAAGAGAGTTAGTGTTAAAACATTTACCAGTCCTGCATGACTCACCTGTAGACATCGTTCTCAATGCCCAGCAGGTCGTAGGCCATGGCCTGCAGTGTCAGCTCATGCAGCAGAGGTGACACTGGGTCAAAGCCACGATCCAGTATCAGCAGCTGAGTGCGACACTTGTCTGGACCCTGGAAGCATCAACAAACACATTATACACACAGATAAATGGTAATATTTAGATTAATATTAGTACAAACTCCCCRATCATCTGTCATCTAAAAAGTGTTGTAATGTTTGCTCCATCATTCGGCTCTAGACCCTACCTCTCCCATGGTGGGATCATCAGCCTTATAGCCATCCAGCTTTTCCTGAAGCATCTGTGCAAGAACGGCACAGTCTTTGTACTCCCTGGACCGACACACACAAATAGAAGGAGTTAGAAAATTCCTTTGTTTATTCATAAATGTTCCTACTTAAACAAAAGAGGGAAAATGACACATTTAAAATCTGTTACACATCAATTTTGTGAAAATGTCCATCGTCATATGTGAGCCGTGGTACTGCACAAACCAGGCCAGACAGTCTGGGTTTTTTAGCCCCCCCCAAAAAAAAAAAAAACATCAAGAAGGAAGGAAATAAATAAAAAGTAAGTAGGTCTTTTGTCCTTCTTTTTTTTTAGCCTCCTAGGACCTGGAGCCACATATGTGGACCTAAATGCATGCAATACAAGAGTTCAGGTCTTAGAAGGTCAATGAATGATTGAAGAGACCTCATCATTCAGGTGAGGCCACTCAGTTCACAAGCAAGATGTACCAGTAAGACCTATTGTTAGCTTGATTAACTCTGTCTCTTACAACGTTTTCAAATATTTGGCTTCAGTACTTCGTCTTATATGCCCCTTTTCCACTAGTGCCACTTAGTGTAGTGTCGGAACGATCGGTGTAGGTACGGGTCGGACCGGTAGGTTTTCCACTGATGTTCCAGTCCGGTTCCAGTGGGTGTGCTTTGGGCGGTTGGTGGAGGTGGTTTTTAGGTATTTTGAAAAAAAAAATAATGGGCAAAATGAGAGATGGAAACACATTTGATGAATAACTTTTGAAATTTTAAACATTTGCAAAAATTTAGCCAATCAGTGACGAACAGTGTTCTKACGTCGCATTTTGGTGTCAGCTGGGGCCGGTTGGAACCACAATGAAGTAGGTACTAAAAAAAGTGTCGGTTCCATGGATCTGGCCTAATGGAAATGGCTTGGAACCGTACCGAACCGTACAGACACTACACTAAGCGGCACTAGTGGAAAAGGGGCATTAGTTGGCAGTTCAGAACATCACACATACAGTAGAACACCAAGGACTTTGTGAACAAGGTGAGGGATGTCATCATGGAGACGGATGAAACCATGGTCTCTTTTGATGTTACATCACTCTTTACTTGCGTTCCTGATGATGAGGCGGTGGATGTGGTCGGTGTAAAAAACGTTTTTTATTTTCCTAATTTTATGAAGTTTCCAAATACCAACATACTGGTTTAAATAGCCTTAACACATTCAGAACATTACTTTGTGCCCGCCAAACTGTTTCATGGGGGACACTTTTCCTCGCAGCACCGCCATGTGCATTAGCAAGCTAATGTTATTGTGGAAGCAGCTTATCAATCTCAATAACTGGCCGCAGGTGGTGATTTGGCTGCTTAATGTGGTTATCCTAACTGGGCTTTCCTGAAAGCAGATAAGAAACCCAAACAGGATTCCAGTCAACAACCAGGTGCAAATGAAGACCCCAAACCCAGACCCAAACCAGTAGTCATTCTATATGTTGTGGGAGTTTCAGAGAAACAGACGTTTATTCTCTAAACATGACGTCACAGTGGCTTTCAAACCCCAAAACATGTTACGACAAAGATTGGTTCACCCGAAAGAGCCACTTCCCCGGCACAAACAGAGCAATGTTGTGTATGCTGTTAGGTGTCAGGAGGACTCAGATCAGTTATCAGTTAAACATCAGGGAAACAAAGCAGCCACTGTTCAAAAGAATGAGCCAGCACAGACAAGGAACATCATCAGGCCAGGACGCTGCAGTTTACACTCATCTACAGACCAGGGCTCTACAGTTTACACTCATCTACAGACAAGGACTCTACAGTTTACACTCATGTATAAGCCAGGACTCTACAGTTTACACTCATCTACAGACCAGCGGTCACTGTTTCAGGGATGAAGATGTTCTCATCCTTGATTGAGAGGAACGTTGGTTTGAGAGAGGAGTAAAGGAAGCCATCTTTGTGAAGAAAAAACCATCCACCATTAAACAGAGGTGGAGGCCTTCGTGTCCAGTTGTCCCCCTCCTAAAATGCTGTTATTGCAATTATGACTCAGCCCCCTGTGAGCAAAAGGTGTGAATCAGGGCCTTAACAATCATCAAGATGATGGTCCTCTATGAACAATAGAGATATTCAGGACACTAACAGTCTATTGTTAGGCTGATGGTCCTCCTTTGCATGTGAACAAACATTTTTCTGCACCGTCACCACTGGACTCTCTGACCACCATCAGTAGGCAGACAGTTTCAGTAAGTATTCAAATGTATAGGTACCATCCCTATTTAGAAAAAAATGGCACTTGTGCTTCACTAAAAAGTTTTGTTTTCTGTCTTTTGAATAAAGTTTTGTTTGACAAGGATTGTGAAGTCCATGCATCATCAAGGAAAATACAAAGGCAGATTCAGTTTTTTATTTTCAACACTTAACTATGCTGTTGAACAGATTTCAGACATGTAAATAAATTCTGACCATAAATGTAAATAAACACTAATAATTTCATACCAATTAACTCAAATCATATTAAATAACTTAATTTTTATACGTCACAATTGCAAACTGTAGGAAACCCATTCAATTGCTTATTATATAACAGCTGCAGAGGGCTACGTTTTTGTACTAATGAAACCAGCAGAGGCATGTATTTGACATGACCATGATCACATGCAGGGTGTAAGGCCCTGTCACATTATAACATTTTAGGTAACATATGCCAGCTTCTGAAAAATTTGTTGTGACTATTTTACACATATCAGCTATTTATTTGAGCTAATGGTTAGTGTTACACTATGTATAGGTCCAAAAGAGGCTTTCAGTGGATTTTTTCAAAATTCAGTGTTGGACAAACTATTCACTTGTTGGCACAAGTTGTATAAAAAGTTATAGTGTGACAGGACCTTTAGAGACAGACTTGTGAAAGACTTTGGTCTCACCCTCTGTATCGAACCCCAGGATACTCTTTGAGTGTTGCACAGAGGGTGGCGATCTGCTCAGCACATCGCTCCAACATGTTGTTCTTTACATCAGCCTTAAAGGGGCTGTAGAAGTCCTGGAAGGCATCAGCTTTGTCCAGAGAGAAGACCTGAGTAGAACCACAGATTCACTCTTAACATACTGCTACTACTACAAGACATCAAATTGGGGATCATTTCCCTGCACGTTTGTGAAACCTTTTTTTCATCTGTGAAGTCTTAGGAACCCTCCTTTTTGTCTTTATTTGCTTCCACTTAGGTCCATTTTTAGAAAGCAAGGAATTTCACTTTTATGCAGATGATTGTCAGGTTTATGTCCCCCTCAAGAAAAAAGACTCATTCTCCACTGAACCACTGCTTAAATGACTTGAGGACTTGAAGGCCTGAATGGTTTTGAATTTTTTGCATTTGAATGAGAAGAAAACTGAGGTTATGTTTTTTGGCACATCCACCGATATCCCTCTTGTGGATTTACAGTCCTTGACTCCATACATCTAAACAGCCGTAAACATAAACAAGCAGCTGAACTGCAACAAAAATGTTGTGGTTTCACTGAAAACCAGCTCCATATTTTGCTAACAGACTTGAACACATCACCTTCATTTTGACTGCAGGTGATAAAAACGTGTGAAGAAAATATTTTGATTTTTTTTATTATCTTTTAAAGCAGATGAAAACCCACTGAGATCAAGACATTATTTACAAKGGGGACTTGAGCAAATCCCAGATTTGGACCCTTTGGTTCCAAACAGGTCTACCTTAACCTGCTGGTAGCAGCAGGGCCATAGGGGACTGCTTATTCCTGGTGCTTCAGGCCAGACAAGCCTGTGGATTAAAGGTTTCAGAGTGTCTGACAGTTTTCTGTGTGTCTGATCAAAGGTTGTTAGTGAACTGATTTCTGCACATTAATGTAGTACTCATGTAAAGCTTCTCAGTTCTAATGGAAGGAGTCTGCAGGGAGGCTAAGGCCCTGTGGGGTATCACCAGTTGGAACAGTTTCTTACCTGAGATTCATAGGGCAGGAAGGCTATGTGGATCTCAGTCAGGGCCTTCATGCATTTGGAGGCCCGGGACTTGGTCAACAGGCCAAAGAGGGAGTCTGGAATTGCTGCAGGGTACCACAGGAAGAACCAGGTCAGTAACAGAGATAACACTGTAGTTGTCTCAACAGCTATATATACTCAGTACTCAGTACGCAGTATAAGGTCTGTCTGAAGGATCAGGGAGGAACTCTCACTCAGAGTCCAGAACAAACAGCAGCCTTCAAAAACAACTTCAGCTCAGTGTTAATCAAACAGTTTGAATCAAAAAAGCAGAAGTTTACTTACACTATATAAAAAGATACAAATGCATTTTTTTTCACGCTGATGTGAAATCAAAATAAACTTTTACAGTTTTATGTCAGGTAGGATTACCGACATATTTTTTATTTGCTAAATGCCAGAATAATGAGATATCAAAAGATGAAATACACATCATTAGTATTTGGTACCATTGCTCTTAAATTGCATGGCTTTGGTCAAACGTTTTGAATCTCCTTCCACAAGCTTCTCACAGTAGTTGTCAGGAATTTTGTCCCATTCCTCCTGACAGAACTGGTGGAACTAAGTCATATTTACCACACCATACCACTTTTATTTATAAAGCACTTTAAACAGCACAAGGCCAACCAAAATGCTGTACAATAGACAACAGGACATAGTTAAAATTACAGTCAAAATACAGATAAAAAATATGGAGCATTTATATTTACAGTACATAAAGAACAGAGGTATGATACATTGTGAGGTTTTGCACCATCTCACTCAGACTCAAAGGCAAGGGAGTAGTAGTGTGTTTTTAAACGAGACTTGAAGACAGCGAGTGAAGGAGACTGTCTGACATGTAGGTAGATCAGTTCACAGTTTTGGACCTGCTACAGAAAAGGACCTGTCACCTCTCAGTTTAAGATGAGAGTTAGGGACCTTCAGAAGCAGCTGACCAGATGATCTAAGAGAGACTGTGGGACAAGTGGATGCACTAGACCTGAGAGGTAAGAGGGGGCAGAGTTGTTTAGGCATTTAAAGACGTACAGGAGGATCTTAACGTGAATTCTGAAATGAACCTGAAGCCAGTGAAGAGATGTTTGTAGACCACCTTGCTCTCACATGCCTTTTCAGCTTTGCCCTTAAATTTTCTGTAGGACTGAGATCAGGGGCCTCATGTATAAACGGTGCGTACGCATAAAAAAGTTACGTGCGCCTGGTTCTACGTCCACATTGTGATGTATTAAAACCAAAGTTGCGTGAAAGTTTTTCACCTGCCGTGAGAACGTGCGGCAGCCACGCAAAGTTTTTCAGYCSACAGTTTTAACCCACAAAGTCACGAATCTGACCTGAATCCACAGAAATATGACTTTGTYGTGTTTTCTGGATGTAAGGAGCGTCTGAACACGGTGTCAGATTATTTTTAGTTTGAGTTTTTATTGTTTAAACTCAAACGATCATGAAACTGAACCCCGGGACTGAAAATCATTTAACCTCAGACAAGAAAATAGATCAGYCTAAAAATGATCAAAGAACCTCAGTCCAGTCTGTAAACTGTAAACTTTTTATATTGTTGTCATGTAGTTGGAAACACAAGCAGAGCGCATGGCCTGCGGAGCGCACACACAGCAGAGGAAACTAAAATGTGTGTGAATTGTCTAAGAAACATTTTAATGTTCACTGAGAAAAAAACGTTGTCAACTCAGCAGATTAATTCAGAACAGCTCAGCTCCACAAGACGCAATAGATTTATTGCTGCGTAAAGTTGTGCGTATGGATCAGTGTCCAATGCATTCTCACTGCCACCGCATCATATTGACGCTTGGTCAGGTAGTGTTTTGCGTCCAGTTTTGACGCGCCGGGTACCCCCTGCACATCTGTTTTTTACGAGATGAGGCGGAGGASGASGAGTGTGTTGTTCTATTTTTTTTTACAGTACAAGGGTAGGAAATGTGTATTTCTTCACATCAACTTAATAAATATTTTTCTAAGTTCTACAAAAGTCACAAATTTCTCTGTGTTTACAGTCATTTAGTAAAGACGTGYAAAGGTGGAAATATCTCTCAGACTCATGTGCCACTGAAAGTAACAGCACACGCGCACACACCAACACCCACACACACCTTTGCGAGTGGCAAACTCATTTTTACACCCCACTGACAATTTTGTCACTCATTCTGCATTTAATGTATAYTTTTTCTGCATCTAAAAATCATTTCTCACATCGAATCTCACRCGCTGGACACATTTACATCTATTTTACATATTTAAATGGAGGCGTATCAGAGGAGGTTTCTCACGTGCGCTCAGTTCCACGTTCATTAGGATGTATAAAGGAAAGGTGCGCAGGAACCTGCGTACGCACAGTTTTATACATCTGAATATTTTGGTGCAGCGCACATTTCTAAATTTGTCTGTACGTCAACTATTAGTGTGAAAGCTGCGCAATCCTTTATGCATGAGGCCCCTGGTCTTTGTGATGGCCTCTCCAAAACATTGACTTTGTTCTMCTTGAGCCACTTTATAACCAGTTTTGGCAGAATGCTTCAGCTCATTGTGCATTTAGAAGACCCATTTGTGTCCRARCTTTAACTTCCTGACTGATGTCTTGATGTTGCTTCAGTATTTTCACATCATGTTCTTTCCTCATGATGCCATTTTGTGAAGTGCACCAGTCCCTCCTGCAGCAAAACAACCCCACAGCATAATGCGACCACCCCCGTGTTTCACAGTCAGGATGGTATTCTCAGGCTTAGATTTCCGTTCTAGCAGTTTTCTTTACTTTAGTTCAGTGTTTGATATATTTATATTTTATGTTCATGCAGCCTTTGTGAAGCTTGGTTCTGTGGACTGGACTGGATTTACTCACTGTCAGTAAAGAAGACATGAGCTGCTCGGTACCTCGGAGACCGGGGGTCTCTGAAGTCATCGATCAGACCCTCAACAGACTGAAACAAAAGAAAATACTGTTTTTCCAAATGAGAAAAGAAGAAAGAAATCTTAACATTCTGTGCAATTTAGCTTTTTTTTAAAAAGAAAAAGTGTTGTTTGGTTATTTCAGCAGTGAAACAGATCAACAGCAAAGCAAAGCTCCTCGTCCTGCATGTCTGACCTCGTCTGTGGGCGTGATCAGGTAGATGGCCTCCATGGTGGGCAGAGGCTCCCGGCGCTTCGTTATGTCTTCCACAACTGAAGGATACAGAAAAAAAATAAACAGCTAGAAAGACTGGAAATGTTCCACTTTTTCTCTTTCTTTCTAAGGCCATGTTGGAACATCTCACAGGAAACTGATGTTTACCAAAGATAAAAGTCAGACCTCTTTGGAGAGTTTAAAGTCCATTTGATTTTCACCTTCAATATATACCTTCAGTGTAAAGAGAAAAATAAATCAACGTTCCAAACCAGAGGCTTCCTTCCCTCAGCTGCCCTAAAATAAGCCGAATGCTAAAAGGAACTCATTCAGCTGAAGGAGTCACTGTTTGAACTGTTTCAGTGGTACTGCACTCATGAAGTCAGAAGAGCTTGTTGACCATCTCTTAACCCTGCTTCCGTCTAACTCTTGTTTTGTTACCTGCTCACTGTGTCAGACTCTAACAATACATCTGATGAGGACTTGAAACTATTTTTAAAGGCACTGACAGATGGGACGGGAAACATTCCCAGCAGGAGGGGGTCTGTAAACTTACCCCCTTCATGATTTTTGGGCTGGCAGCAGTTTCCTGAATGGGATTGGATATGAGCATTTCTTCCTAAATGCTTGAACAACAGCTTTAGAAGAGGGAGAACTGTGTGAGGAACTGGGGTCTCATTTATAAAGCTTGTGTTTGTGAAGCCTTTTCTTCTTGCAGTTAAAATGACTGAATCCAACAGTGTTGCTCTTTGGGKTTTTTTCCTGAGGGGTTGGGCTTAGTTGGTAAATGGTACTGAACTTATAGAGCACTTTTCAAGTCCCTCCAGACCCCAAAGCACTTTACACTAACAGACATTCACCCATTCACACACAGAWGGTGGCAGCTGCTCTGGGGCACACTGACAGAAGCGAGGCTGCCATGCACCAGYGCCACCAGACCCTCTGACCACCACCAGTAGGCAAGGCAGGTGAAGTGTCTTGCCCAAGGACACAACGACTGAGACAGCTGAGACGGCTGGACGGGGGATTGAAACAGCRACCTTTCGGTTCCAGGACGACTCCCCTAACCACTCCGCCACAGCCGCCCCTCATAGTTGGACACAAAGTTATTGCTTTTTCAACTGCTGGCCTGATCCTTCTGAGGTGGAAGGATGCTGCCCACCCACAGTAACACATCGGATTAGATGGATTATTCAGTTTAACACTGGAGAAAATCAGATGAATTTTACCAGACTTGGAAATCTTTTCTTCATTTCTTTAATCAACCYTCGACACWGGTTCAGGAGTAGAAGGTTTTTAGTTGTACTGGTTGACCTGGTATCATAGCAGCATATATTGTACACAGTACATGTGACAGTGAGGACTGGGTTTGTTCATTATTATCGGGTGGGTTTTTTTATTATTGTTTTCTTTTTTCAATGGCAGTTTCTGTATGTTTGTAGTTTTGTGATGAAAACTCCAATAAAAACACTATATTGCCAAAAGTATTTGCTCACCCATCCAAATGACTGTGCACCAGTGCACAAAGCAAGCTCCATAAAGACCTGGATGTCAGAGTCTGGTGTGGATGAACTGGACTGACCTGCACAGAGTCCTGATCTCAACCTGATAGAACATCTTTAGGATGAATTAGAGCAGAGACTGAGAGCCAGGCCTTCTGTCCAACATCAGTATGTGACCTCACARATGTGCTTCTGGAAGAATGGTCAAAAATYCCCATAAACMCTCCTAAACCTTGTGGACAGAAGAGTTGAAGCTGTTCTAGCTGCAGAGGGTGGACCAACATCATATTGAACCCTATGGATCAGGAATGGGATGTAGCTTAAGCTCATATGTGAGTCATAGCAGGTAAAACAATACTTGTGGCAATATAGTGTATGTTAAACACTACATTCCAGACAATCTGTTAATAAAAGCAGTCGTCACCAGCTGCCCTCCTCCAGACACAAAACAGAGCACGTGTCTGAGCTGACCAATCACTTTTGGTGACATTGATCATCTGAAATAAACCTTAACATTCATGAGGTACTTTRYATYGACTGTTTATGGTTGAGAGTAGGCGTGTAGAGGGTAGAACCTGAGGCGGGACCTYGTGCGCAAACTCTGACATGCAGCTATGATTTATAAAGGAAAATAGCTTGAAGGTGTGCACACGGTTTTATAAATTTAACATTTTTTTGCATACGCCATTTTCACCTTTTGGCYATATATACACTTTTAGTACRGTTTCCACACAATCCTTTATAAATGAGGCGCCTCGTCACGTGTGTGCATGTCACCAGACATCTGTCCTGTGACTCCTGGTATGAGAGGCTTTTCTGCAGGTGATTTCAGGYTTCATTTTTTATTTTTAACAAATATTTATCCACAATAATTTCGAGTAGTGAACAATAAAAAAAACAATTGCCACATTAGGACAAGCTTAAAAATGGCTTAAATAAGGYGCTTGTTGTATTGCAGTTCTCTCTGAGTAGACACATCACACAAAAACCCATTGAAGCCCAATAAATGCAGAAAATCCTCCATCTCCCCCGTGGCTTTGTGGAAGCAGAACTTCACCCTTACAGCCTGGTCTTGATGCTGCACCTCCACAGAGCCAAAGATTCAAGGATTCAAGGAGACTTTATTGTCATTCGYGTCACACGTGGTACATGAGCTGGAACAAAATTTGTACTCTCACAATCCAGTTGCACCCACAAGCCACAGCCACAACACCAGCCTGCAGCCATGAGAGACAAATATACACCCATTTTCGCTTCTCCCATTAAAAGGTGAAAAATTTGGCACTTTGATTTGTTTGCTTTGTTTTATCATTTTTCACCAAATAAAAACAGAACTGGTAAAAAACTACAGCTAAAAAAAGCTAAAACACTCGTCAATAAGCTAAAAAGAAAGCTGTTCGTACAATCAATAAAAACATGAAAAACGCTCTCTGGAAGACTTCAGTCAGAACAGCGTGATGATGGCTGCATGGTGAAGGAGCTCCTGAAGGAACCTGAATAATTTCATGTAAATCCCCGATCAAACTGGGTAATTTGTACATTTTGAGAGTGCTGCTRTCTGACTCCTCCTTCCTCTTTTTGTGCCGTTTTGCAGCCGGCATCTCAGAAAGATTTTTGGGCGGCAGGTTTTTCCACCACAGTGGATGTCTCCGCCTCTCTGGTCTCGCCGTGTGTGCCCCCCACCTGTACAAGCTTCTGGCCCATTTGATTCATAWGCAAGCTTTATAAATCGGACCCYGGTCTKTGTGAGGAGGTTTCCTGTAAACTTCCTCATTTAGTCTAACATCTTTCTTCATAWTGCCCAGACAGTCCAGAAAARGCAGCKTGTAGTTAACGTCCTCTCTGGTGAACTTGCTGTCCACAGAGGTGATGTGTCTGTCTTTTATTAGTTAAGGTTCTAAAAAAGAGGATTACACATCAGAGCAGTCTGACTCTGCTTTTTGGCAGCTTTCTGACAATGATCACAGAATTTAAAAGAATCATATCAATTTGGAGAGTTTTATTTCTTTGATGGATTTTTTTCTAATTTTCAGTTAAACTTGTTCAAGTCTTGAACTGAGATGGGGCCTGATTGATTTTTTTTTTCTTGAAAAGAGGTGAACCATGGAAAGTTAGTGAATCACTGCATTAGATGAACTGAGTGCACTGACATCAGTTGATAAAAATCAAGGTGACTTGGGAGCTACAGGTGAGGAGAACCTGGGAGATGTTACTCACTGGTGATTCCCTCTGACATGATATCTGTCATYCTGCAGCAGGATGAAACCATCCTCATGCTCAGCTTGTCCACCACCAGCACCTACAGCAGAGGAAACACCACTTCATGTACGAGCAGACAAAACAGAATCATCAGGACAAACACGAGGCAGTACCTTCCATTGTCCCTTTTCTCTCGCCTTCTTGATGACATTGTTCATTATCTCTGTAAAGTTAAGAAGAAAAAGATCAAATAAACTCTAGGATCTCTGCTGAATCAAAAYACACTGAAGACCTTTCTACAACTGCAGGGCACGAGGAGCTGATGGATGGAGATACTGATTCAGTCATGTGTTCATACAAACATTTCATTTAGGGTTAGTTTGTCAAACCTCATAAATACATCTGGCTCTCCTACCAAAGCAGAGACATAACATTCATTGTTGGAATGACAGAGAAAAGCATTTTTGTCAAACCTCAAAAACAATAACATGCTTGATTTCATGCATTAATCTCACATAATCTGTGAGCACCTTGTGAATTACTCTCAGCTACYACCACACCAAATCTCAGCTCAGTCTCAGTAAAATTCACTGAGCCACTCTCATTTCTGTGCTAGAAAAATTATATTAACTGTGACGACCAGCTTGAACTGGGTTGACTTCAAAAAGTCATCAGGTGTAGATCTACATCTAATGATTAGTTTCTATCCAGCAACTTATGGGATATTTTACTAACAGGCAGAGAGCAGTATACATAAGTTTTGTGCAATATTGACATGCAATGATCAGAGCTTGACGTTAATATTTTTGAACTACTCTCAGCTGAATTATAACCATTTTTCTATCTTYTRATAATAAGTTGGCTGAGACAACCATCTTGAATTTAGAAAACTCCAAAGGCTACTCAGTGGTAAATGCACACACACACACACACACACACACACACACACACACACACACACAC